TGTCTCTATCATTTTTATAAAGAGTATTATAATTTCCTAATCTCGAGATAATGAAAAATGTAAAGAAATTAATTCTGTTGATGTTTGAATTCCATTTGATTGCAATACTGTTTTAATAACAATTTACAAATTTATATCATCAATATGTTTTGATAATAGAAATTATTTACAAAGTTGTATTATCATATTATATTTTAATAATAGAAAGTATTTACTATATATATATATATATATATATATATATATATATATATATATTTTGATAATAGAAATTATTTACAAAATTAATAATATATTTTGATAATAGAAAGTGTTTACAAGGTATTATCAATATGTTTTGACAATATTTACTTTGTGTCATCAATACGTAAATTGCAAGAATTTTAATTAAATCATTTTCCAGAAGTAAAATTAAACACTTTAAAATGCCTCTTTTTTATTCTTTTCCTTACTTTCTAGAGCGTAGCTTTGTCGTTGCGCATTTCTTTGATGCATTGTTCTACCCTGGCCGACTAATGCACTGGTGCAATTTGAGAAAAAAGACAGAAAATGCTATTATACTACTTTCGACTTGTCGATAGGTGGTCTAAACAACGAGTTCGGCGTATTTCCGGCGTCGTAAATCAATTTCTCCGTGAAAATTGCTTTCTCTCGTAAAAGTGTCATTATCTGCATACAATTGCTTGAAATTTTCCGTTTCTTTGATATTCTGCGCATTCTTGACTCGCAAAATAGAACGAAGCAGAAAATATTACCGCGTTTTAACGAAGATAAAATGTATTACATCGATTGACGTAATAAAATATACCTCAATGATCTTTGAGAATATTTTTGCACACCATATTTGCATACAAGCAAATTCGACCAAAATCATAAATATAGTTGAAAGAATTATTTAGGCAACATAAATTACGAAACATAAAAAACAGAATTGCATTTAGAACAAAATGATGTTTACTTTTATTTAAAGCTTGTACATGTAAAACATTTTTATTCTTCTTACTCTGTGTATTTAAAATCATAAATATTATTTCATTTTAATGGTGTCTAACAAAGAATTTATCACTGACAAGTTTCATAATATTGCACCGTTGCATTGCAATGTAATAAATGTCGCTATATTGTAATATATTGAAGATCGTATACATTATTTATTTGAAAGGTGTCTGCTATAAAAAACATTACACTGACAAGTCCTGGGATATTACTGTGAGTGGATTTAGAGACACACATAAGTATACATATATTTAACGTACTTGAATACGTATATAACAATAATACTAAATGAACAATCGATTTTGCGCACTCTCTTTATTCATACACAAATAACACTTCTTGACTTTCTCTCTCTCTCTCTCTCTCTCTCTCTCTCTCTCTCTCTCTCTCACGATTGAAACAATAACTGAACTGTTACCGGTACCACATCAAATTCGTTTACCTCAAGAGGTCTCTCACATTTAATCGACGCTCGTTCTTCAATCTGATTGGCAATCATACAAATTACACACCATTACCTAGCATAACGCAGTATTTACATTCATCGACATATTATATTATATATTATACTCTCACGTCATCATACAGTCTAATTGTCAATCGCACTCGCACATCACTTATATCGTTTCGTATCTTCTTACAATCTATGAAGTTGAAAAACCAACACCACAATTACAAAGTATGAAAGACACGTGTAAAATATTCAAGAAAATGATCACTTTTCCGCTATGGTGTATTACTACTGCGACCGATTAAAAATCAGACAGAATTCCCATGATCGTTTATAAGACTCATTACAGG